ATAATCCATTTAACTAGCCTGGCTTCTATTGTTAAATCCAGACCCTTCCTCTCTGGAAGCTCACTGGTCACATCTAGGCCTTGCCCATCCTGATGCCACACACCCCTGGGACTCATCATTGGTCCAGGAAATCTATTGTTCTCACCTGAGACCAGCCCCCAGGACCGCCCATTGGTCTGCATTGTCTTCCATAGGGTATATCCCAGCGTAAACATGGCCTCAGACCGTGTGTTTTCTGCCATAATCAAAATGGCAGTCCACCCCTAAGTTCTCTGAATTTAGGCCACAATCCATGGACCTCTGCACATCTGGACAGGTTGTATCACCCCTCTATAAGCTAACTCTATAAGCTATCAATCACCTCTGCATCCTTATAGTTCTATATTGTATGTGTGAGTGTTTGAATATTGTTTATATGCTTGAGAATGTTTAGTAAAGAAATCATTATTTTAGCCATTATGCACAGGTCAGATCCTATTAATAATTATAATTCCCCATCTTTATTAAATAATAGAGCAATTTGGCTAACACCAGGCCTGGCAGCAACCTCTGGACTGCTCGATACCATGCTAGTTCTGTGACTCACCCAGGCTCAGCTGCTTGATACTGGTCAACAGCAGCCATTATACAAAAGCCACTGTGGTGTAACGGTTAGAGTTTCAGACTAGAATCTGGCAGACCCAGGTTTACTCTGCCAAGGAACCTTGCTGGATGACCTTGAGCCAATCACTCACTCTCAGTCTAACTTACCTCACAAGGTTGTTGTGAAGATAAAAGAGACTAATATAAGTTTTGTGTCCCCATTGCAGAAAAAGGTGAGGTATGAGTGTAGTACATAAGTAATACATACAGCTGAAGATGGAAGACGATAAAAACTAAGGTGGTTGGTTTGTGGGAAGGAGACTTTTGCACCTGTTGTGAGCTATACATCCTTCAGGACACTCCTATGCATAGCAGCATCAAGGGGCATGCATGTTGAATATTTGGACATCAAGACAGCTTTCCTCAATGGAGACCTGAATGAAGAAATCTACATGAAACAACCAGAGGGATTTTCAACAGAAGGACAAGAAGGCCTAGTGTGTAAACTCAACAAAAGCATCTATGGACTAAAACAAGCAGCAAAAGCTTGGAATGAAAAGCTGACTAAACTGCTACAAAAACAGAGCTTTCAACAAGGAATAGCAGAACCTTGCTTGTTCTCAAGACTTAAAAATGGAAAGTATCAATACATACTCATTTATGTTGATGATTTGATTATTTGTTGTCAAAATCAAGGAGATGTACAAGTAATAACAGATGAACTGAACAAAGAAGTTGAAGTGAAACAATTAGGAACTATAAAGTACTACCTTGGAATACAAATTGAAAGAACTGA